GTCCGTCTCGGTCTGAAATGATAGATGGATTTTCGCTTTCTTACCTGCTGACCATGTAGGCCTCCAGAAAGCGGGCATCTTGCCTCTCGTGTTCACCACCGGCTGCTCATCGGGCGCTAGCACCGAGGCTTCAGGTGCATCTCCTGAGTGAATGAAGGTTCATTTACAATTTACACGTAGGAATTAGGCGTGCAAATACCTGTGGCGGAAACCGCAGCCGGGAGTGACAAAGGCTGAGGGCGTGTTACGTGCCCTCCGGGTCTTTTACATCCTGCTTCTCTCCCCTGGGGACTCAAATCCCAGAGCCAAGTACACCCACTGAAACCAAAGTTAGCCCGGTGACATCTCCCCATGCACTCGCTCCTTCAAGGGATTTCCAGGCTGCAGCACTCACACAACGCATTTGTGTTGAGACACCACTTACCTGGTACTGTCGAGGTGCTGCATGTAAGTACAGTCCATTCGGTAATGGTGAGGATGGTGCAGGACTATGGTGCAGGAGGATGGGGCTATGTTCTCTTGCACACAGGGTCCCTGCGTGCCGGAACTGACTCACTCCCATGGCGCCTAAGGACAACCTATTCCACAAAGGATTGACCCAACACACAGGAGATGATGTGCTGCAAGGAGCGACCTCCCACTACCCACCCACCAGCAAGACGAAACTAAACGACAGAAAGCACCTAGTGTTGGCCAGAACTTTGAGCACACGGGACTCTGACGCTGCTGGTGGGAAACCACTTTAGAAAACAGTCTCCATTTGGTCTGGTTGCATGTCCCAAGCGAGAAGGAGGTTGCCTGCAGGAAGTTGGTGGAAGCCGCGCGCTCTCAGGATTAATACCAAGGGAGGGAATGGAAGCAGCTTTTGATGAAGTTGGAAAGCTGAAGGGGAAGTTGGGTTGGGTTATAGCCTCAAAAAAACCTTCTCTAGACCCCCAAGAGATCTGAATCTGGTGTATCCCAAGTGGTGAGAGAAGGGAGTTCGAATATCCCGCCCTGACACACATCACCCAGGCATTGATAATTGTAGGCATTGATAGCTGTAGGCTGCCCCCTGGGGAGCAGATGGGACCTTGAGTGAGGGAGAGCTTTTCAGCTGAGGACAATTCTCAGAGAAGAAGGCTGGTAGCCAAGGACAGTGAGCCAGCAGTACGCCGACAGCTGGGAGACTAGGTCCCTCACTTCTAAGGGGAATCTGGGGGGTGCATTGCAGCATCCATTTTATCTATATCTATATATCTATATATAGCTTATGTAGCATAGTAGAGAGCCTGGTGATGGCATAGTGGTTACCCATTGGTTTGTTAACCCCAAGGTCAGCAGTTCAAAACCCAGGTGCTCCTAGGGAAAAAGACAAGACTGTCTACTCCTGTAAAGCACGCGTTTCAGAGACCCACGAGGGCAGTTCTACCCTGCCCTACAGGCTCATGCTCACTGAGTCAGAGTTTGGTTTGAGTTTATATGGCCTCGTGCGTGGGCTGCTGCTCATTGTGCGGCTAACTCTAATGCTGCTCATTGTGCGGCTAATTCTGCTTTCATAAAGGTGCCGTCTCTTAGAAGCCCAAAGGGGCAGTTCTGCTGTGTCCTATAGGGTCACTATGAGTCAGAAGGGAATCAATGGTAGCAAGTTTGGTTTTCTTTCTTTCTCTTTTCAATGGCCCAGTAATTCTATCCCTACACAAACACAACAAAAACATGTCCATATGCTAAGGTGACAAGATTTTAACATTGGTAAAGTAGGACACCATTGATAAAACTCATATCCTAGCGAAATAGCCACATGGCAGCCGAAAACTGTATACCCTACCTCGTTGTGCATTCTTTCCAAAAATCGGGACTTTTTAAAAACCCTGCGGGACGCGGGACAAATTGTTAAAAATCAGGACTGTCCCGCCCAAAGCGGGACGGCTGGTCACCTTACCGTACGCTCACCAAAAGGTAGACGCATAGTAGCATGGTTCAGACTGGCCAGCACCCACAAGTCCATCAACTTGAGTCCAAACCCACTGCCATCGAGTTGATTCCAACTCATAGCGCCTGACCCATGACACACCAGGGCTCATTTCACCCACAGATGATTGACATCTGGTCTGCTCATGCAGTGGGGGTAGGACGGATGTAGCACAAACAACACGCTAAGCAAAGGAAGCCAGCCACGAAGGGGGCAGACTGGGTCTCCTGTCTCTTGCTCCTAAAACAGATGACCCCAGGGTTAACAACTGAAGGGCACACGTTGTTCTGGAGACTGAAGCCCCACGGGGTCTCACGAGACGTGGACACGGCTGCAGGCCCCTTAGGAGGCTCCAGGGAACAAGATTGTGTTTCCCGGACTTTTCTAGCTTCTAGAGGCCATTCGTACTCCTTAGCTCATGTTTCAAAGGCAGTCACGGAGAATGAGGTCCCTTTTACATCACACCACACCCGACTCCTCTTCTGTCTCCCTATTCCCCTTTTAAGGACCTTCCTGGTAACATTGCCCCCTCCTTCCTCCCACCCCAGAATCCAGGATCACCTCGCCCACTCAAGGCCCTTCATTCACTCACATCATCTGCCCAATACCTTTAGCAAAAGATGCTAGCAAGGACATTAACAGGGTGCTGAGGCAGGGTTTTGGGGTGGTGGTGGTTGAGATTCAGTGTTCAGGGCGTTCTCCCTCAGAAGGTGACATTTAAGCTGATTGCTAATGGATGAGACAGCAGCAGCCATGACAAGCTCCATGTTCCAGGCAGAGGGGACAGCAAGATCAATGGCTCTGAGGCAAGAAAGAGCCTGACCTATATTCTCAACCAAACGCACTCACTGCCATGGAAGCCGTTCTGACTCATAGCCACCCTATAGGGCAGAGTAGAACAGAAAGCCTCATCGTTTCCTCTCAGAGCAGCTGGTGGTTCAAACTGATGACCTTGTGGTTAGCAGCCCAACTTAAAACCCACTATGCCACCAGGGGAACGGAAGGCAGTCTCTGGTCCGTACAGTTTCAAAGCTCGGCTGCTAATCTTAAAGGTTCAGGTTCAAATCCACCCAGAGGCACTTTGGAAGAAAGGCCTGGTGATTCACTTCCCAAAAAATCAGTCATGGAACCTCCGCGGAGTCTCGTTCTACTCTGACACCCATGAGGTCACCATGAGTCAGTCAGAATCAATTCTCCTATAGCTGTTGTTGATTTCTTTGGCTGGAGGGGGAGGAGGAGAGACATGAGTGGCCTTAGGATTAAGGTCAGGAATTGGGTTTCTTTTCATTTTAATATGTCAACTATCACTGGCAGTTTTGGAAAGTGGAAGCCAAGGACCAGTCCGGAGAAGCCTGTAATGGTCTAGCAGCTGGCAGTGGCGATGGAGGGAAACAAGCAGGATGTTGAGCGTAGAGTGATGGCTGAGACCCTGGTTCCAGTAATGGCTGGATGCTGGTGCTATTTATGGAGATGGGAGGACCTAGGGACAAGCAAATTGGGGGGCTTGCTCTGACAGACCTGGGTGGGATCTCCAGGTTGTCAAGTAGTCCTCAGGATTCACTGCCCAGAGCTCCTTTCTCCCTCCACAGCTGGCAGAGCTGGACCTGCAGCTGACAGTGCTGCCCTGGGGAGCTCTGGAGTTTGAGAGGAGAGCCCATGCTGCCGGACAAAGTGCTGTGAGCTGCCTTACTTTCCCTAGCCTGGGGAGTGAGAATGCTAGCAGGGGCCCTCCCCTGCTGGAGCAAAGAAAGGCAGCCCCCCAACTTGAAGATTCACCTCCCACCCTGGAGTACAGAAGGCTGCTTTCAGCAATGATGTAGGACACCTCCACATTTGAGAAGCAGTCAGCTCCTGGGTCACCACCACTCAGTCTTTGGCTCTGACCATCCTGGTCACTTCCCGCAGCCTGGGTCTACCCAAAGCTCCTCTTTTCCAGCGGGATGGGCCGGGCCGGTGGGGACTTGGGGGTGTGGTGGCTGCAATTCTCTGTCTCTGTCTCTCTCCCCAGGGCCACACTTGACAGTGAAAAAGGCTGGGTTCCTGGGCCCAGCCTGCTTGGGAGGAATAGCATCCCATTGGGTACCAAGAAGTGAGTGGGGCACAGGGGTGGGCCGAAACTAGGCAGCCAGACTTAGCCTGGGGTGGTAGATCCGCCCTGTTCCCCCTCTGCTGGGGACAGAAAGACAAAGGCTGGGGTGGTCCCCAGCACTGTGGGCTGACTCAGGCCTGTGGACAACCTACAGCATGTCCAGCATGTCAGGCTGGACCATGGGCGTGGGTGGGACCACTTCTTGCATCTTTCTGTCTTAAGGGCTGATGGAGGATCAGGATTCTTGGGAATCAGCTGTGGGATGCACTTCAGGGTCCCCTCAAATTCAGTCAAGGCAGGGCAGATGCCTCCCTGACCTTGGTCACCCTCAGCCTGGCCACCAAACTGTGGGGTCAGTGGTGTTCCTTGCCTGGGCTGGTGGCCGCAGCGCAAGGTGGCCGGGTGGGCTCACTGGCGTCCAAACTGGGGCAGGAGGCTCCGGGGGGGTCCCTTCCTTGCTTCCAGCGTGGGTGTGGGTGCAGAGAACCGACTGGGGACCCCGAGGGCGGGGTGGGGGGGCTCGGAGCGGTCTCAGGCGCTGATAGAGCATCCTTGCTCTGCGGCTTCCAGTCCCCGCCCATCCGCGCCCGCCCAGCCCACCGGAAGTGACGCGAGGGCGCGTGCAGCTCTGACGTTGGAGGGTCCCAGCCGCCCGGCCCCTGGCCCCTGAGTCACGCGCACAGGAGAGGGTGGGGAGCGCCTCCTCGCTGAGCTTCTGTGCCCTCGGGGCGTGGGTGGACCGCACTCATTGGCTCATCTTGCGTTAACGTCAAGGGTCAGGCGACGCCAGGGTGCCCATCCCCTGCAGGCCGCGCTGACCCCAGACCTCGGCTGGGCTCTTGCTGCTCTGAATGGTTTTGTTCCCCCTGCCCCGCCCCTGCCCCTAAGCCGAAGGCAGATCCAGGCACACACCTATTTGACTGGCCCCAGACCCTCTATCCTTCTGAAAGAGCCATATCCTGGCAGATTCTCCAGCCCTGTGGGCAGGAAGTGCTTCTGGGTCTCCACCTCAAGTCCCTGCAGCTTACACTCTGCAGGCTGGTCACCAGGACCTCCTGTGGCCGCATTCACACTGCTTTCACACCTCCCCAGGGGGAGTAGGAGAGTTGAGAACAGTACCTGCCCCCCCCCACACACACACACACAATAGTGTTTGCTACTACTGTGCACAACAGAAGGAAGCACTGGCCGTCCGTCCTCACAATGGTTCTTATGCTGTAGCCCCGGGATGCAGCCGCTGTGTCTGTCCATCTCCTAGAAGGCCTTCCTCTGTGTCGCTGCCCCTCCATTCGCATCGTCATGGTCAACTCCACGTTGAGGAGGCAGCTCTTCCTCAGGTGTACTTTGAGTGTCTTCTGACCTAGAGGCTCCTGGATCATGCTCCTGTGGTAGTTATATTATTGTCTG